TTATCTGACTCTACAGCAACATGAGCCTGAGTGATCACTGCTTTCTGTGACGATGAGCCAGCCTGCCATACTTGACTGGTTAGCCACCTCATTGGTTATTTCTTCTTAATTCACCTTGTCAGTTCCTCCACATTTCTCTGACTTCTAAATGCTGGGGTGTCCAGGCCCAGTCTCTCCTCTCTAGATCTATCCAACTCATGGCTTCAGATACCTTCTCTATGCAGATGACACTCAGATTTCTCCTTGACCTATAAACCACATGTCCTACTGTCCCCCAGCACCTTAACCTGGCTGTATTATTTCAAGTATCTTAAAACAAACAGGTTCAAACTGAACTCTTGATAGTCTTGCCCAATCAGATTCTTCTCATAGCCCTCTTCATTACTGCTATCTTCATTCTTAAATTGCTCAGGCCAAAACCACATGGTTGACCTTTTCTTTCATACCCATACCTGAGCCATCAGAAAGTCCTGTTGGAGCTGCCTTAAAAATACATTATTTAGGGCCTGATCACTTCTTAGCACCTTCTCTGCTACCAAAGCCTCCTTTCATCTAATGGCTGTAGTAGCCTCCTAACAGGTCTCCCTGCTTCTACTCCTACCCTCTGTAATTCTCGATATGATAGTGATTCTTTTTTTTGGGAGGGGGGACACAGTACTGAGGTTTGAACTCAGGGCCTTGTGTTTGCTAGGCAGATGCACTTGAGTCACTCAGCCAGCCCTGTGTCTGTGTGTGTGTGTGTTGGTTATTTTTGAGATAGGGTCTTATAAACTATTTGCCCAAGCTTGCTTTGAATCTCAATCCTCCTGATCTCTTTCGAATAGCTAGGATTCGATGTGATAGGATTCGAATCTCAATCCTCCTGATCTCTTTCGAATAGCTAGGATTCGATAGATGTGAGCCACTGGTTCCCAGTGATTGTGTTCCCTTTAAAATATTAGTTAGAGTCAGGAGTGGTGGTACACACATAATCATAGCACTTGGGAGGCTGAGGCAGAAGGATTGTGAGTTTGAGGCCAGCCTGAGCTATATAGGAAGACCCTGTCTCAAGAAAAACATTTAAACAAGGAATGGAGGTATGGCACAAGTGGTAGAGTGCCTGCTTTGCAAGTGTGAAGCCCTGAGTTCAAACCCTAGTCCTGCCCAAAAAAAAAAAAAAAAAAAGACATAATTTTAAAAAGCTGAGCTTGGTGGCTCACACCTGTAATCCTAGCTACTCAGGAGGCAGAAATCAGAAGGATGGCAGTTTGAAGCCATCCCAGGCAAATAGTTCATGAAACCCTGTCTTGAAAAAAACCCATCACAATAAAAAGGGGTGGGGGACTGGTGGAGCAGCTCAAGGTGTAGGCCCTGAGTTCAAGCCCCAGGACAGTAAAAAAGAAAAACAAAAACAAAATAGTCCAGCTCTCTTCTGTACACTTAAGAGTCAAAGTTCAGAGTCCTATCAATGGTCTATAACAAGCATGGCATTATCTGGATTCTGTCACATTTTGACTTGGCAATGGATTCTCTGACATGATATCAAATACAAAAGAAAAAAAATTTGAATTCATCAAAATTAAAAACTTCTGATCTCAAAAGACACCATCAGGAAGAAGACAACCCACAAAAAGGGAGAAGTATTTGCAAATCATATATATTAAGGATCTGTACTTAGAGTATTTAAAAAACTCTTACCACTCAATAATAAAAACATAACCCAGTTTGAAACAGGTGAAGCTCCTTCATCTCTGTGCTTTATGTTCTTGACTGCTATGCTGCAACAGTGGGGGGATGTCGCTAAAAGCAGGAGGTGCAGGCTGAGGCCACCCTCCCTGACTATCTAGGGATTACTGAAGGCACAAGGCCGGTGTTCAGTGGGCAGCAGGTGAGGCCTCTTGAAGCTGCTCAGGCAGGGGCACTCTGTCCCAATGTGCCTCCCTCCTCTTGCCCTTCCCTAGGATTAAATGTGGAGTGGGTTAGTGTGGGCTGCCCTTTGGAATGTTGAGGGCTATATGGGAGCAGAGATAGCTCAAGGCAGTGAATAGTGTCCCAAGGGTAAGGGTCTGAGTGTGGGAAGTTTTGGCCAGGACTGCCTCAGCCCCTCCCTTCAGACTGGAAGCAAAGCACAAGCCTGAGTTCTGCCACCCTCTACCCCACCCCAGCATTGCCTAATTTCCTGGGTTGTGCTCAGAGAAGAGCCAACTTCTTGCCTCCTTCCTCTAAGACAGTATATCTGGGAAAACCTGGAAGGAGTGGGGACACCCCTAACCCAGTCACAGAGACTGAGACTAAGTACCACTTGATAAAGACCTCCAAGTGAGGTCTAAATAGACATTTCCCGAAAGATGATGTATAAAGAACCAATAAGCACAGAAATGATGCCTGACACTGTTAGTCACTATGGAAATGCAAATAAAAACCACAGTAGGATACCTCTAGGATAGCTATAATGGGGGTAGGGGGTGAATATGATCAAAGTATATTGTGCGCATGTATGAAAATGTCATCATGAGGCCCATTATTTTGTAAAATTAATACATGGTAATAAAAACCAAAAAAGATGGACATTAATAGTTTTGTCAAGGACATCGAGAACAAGAACACTCATATTTTGGTAGTACTGCTTAAACTCAGGGCTTCACACTTGCTAAGAAGGCACTCTACGGTTTGAGTCACACCTCCAACAGAACATTCATACTTTAATGGTTGGAATGTAAAGGTGCAGACTGTTTGAAAAGTCTGGTAACTCCCCAAAAAGTTTAGCATAAAGTTATCGTGGCCACTTCTAGGTATATATACAATAGAACTGAAATCACATGTACACACACACACACACACACACACACACACACACCCTGTACACAAATATTTATAGCAGCATCATTTATAATGGTTCCACTGTGGAAACAATCCATATGTCCACCTCATGATCAATGGATAAGATGAAATGTGGTATATCCACAGAATGGGATGGTACTGATCCATAGAAAGGAATGAAGTACTGATATGTGTTACAATAAAAACATTATTCTAAATGAAACAAAGCCAGATACAAAAGCTGTATGATTCCACTTATGTGAAATGTCCAGAATCAGCACCATAGAGACAGAAAGTGGATTCATGATTGCCAGGGTCTGGGATGTGGGTGGGAGGGAACAGAATGATTGTTACTGGGTATGAAAGTTTCTTTCGGTAGTGAGAGATGCTCTGGAATTAGTGACAGTGGTTGAAAACCTTGCGGATACAGAGAAAAAACTGAGTTGCACACTTTAAAAAAGAATGAAGCTGGGCACTGGTGGCTCATGCCTGTAATCCTAGCTATTCAGGAGGCAGAGACCAGGAGGATCGAGGTTCAAAGACAGCCCAGGACCCTATCCTGAAAATACCCAATACGAAAAAAGGACAGGTGAAGTGACTCAAGCAGTAGAGCGCCCACCTAGCAAGCGAGTCAAATCCCAGTACCACCCAAAAAAAAAAAGGAAGATAGAATTAAGAGTTAGGCACCAGTGACTCATACTACTTGGGACTCAAGCAGCAGAGTACCTGCTTTGAAAGCACAAAGCCCCAAGTTCAAATCCCAGACCCAAGAAAGAAAGAAAAAGGGAAGGAGGGAGGGAGAGAGGGAAGGGAGTGTGTTATGGCCAGGTGCTGCTGGCTCACGCCTGTAATCCTAACTACTTGGAAAGCAGAGATCAAGAGGATTGAGGTTTGAGTCCAGCTCAGGCAAATAGTGAGACCCTATCTCAAAAACACCGAACACAAAAAAGGGCTGATGGACTGGCTCAAATGACAGAGTGCTTACTTAACAAATATGAGGCCCTGAGTTCAAATCCCAGTACTGCCCACCAAAAAAATAAGTAAAATAAGAAACAAGAATGGAAACAAAACATAGTAACTGCCCTATCAGGCCACTGGCTATAGAATCTGATGTCAAACTGCCAGCTCCCAAGCAAACAAAATAAAGCTCAAACCATCATTCAAGATTCACATCACAAAGATAAATATTGATATTCTCTTGAGAAGAGAATAAACTGCATCTCAAGTATTCACATGAATGGAATCATAAGCCACACAGCCTCTGAAACGAAGAAAGAACTATGGTGAATGCTCCCTATCTTCTTAGATGGTGAGTCACACTGCTCTTTCTGAAAAATGATCCATCTTCTTCCTGTATCTTGTGACCACAGGCATATTTGTTGACTCAACAGTCTACAGCACCTTAGGTCAACACTAATCCAGGAGGTATCTGGATGGGAGGCAGGGTCCCCTCAAGGACAATGCCTGCTCCAAGATAGACTTCTTGTCCTTGTCATGGGCTTCCCAGGGAGGCCCTATCACTGGCACTCAGCAGTTTTTACATTTGACCTTGGTTGACCTATATGGAAATACATCCTGCAGTCCTGCATGGCCTTCATCTTCCTCACTGCTTAGAAACTAGAGCAGGGTATAGAACATGTAACAAGAGGCCTCTAAGATTTGGGTATGCTATTAGTATGAAATGGACTCCTCTACCACAGGGCCTCTCTGGCCTTGACCATGCTGATTTGGGAGGCAGGTCAGTTACAAAGATTAAGAGTGAGGCCTAGAGTCATTCTCTGGGATGACACGGTCATTCTGGCATTCATTAGCTATGTGACATAGGGAAAATTATTTCACCTGTCCCTGAGCCCCTTACCTCTGAGATGGGAATAAGAGGATCTTTTTCATGGGGTGGCCATTAGGCTTCAATGTGCCAATGTGGACTAATCAATTAGCATTCTATGAATCAGGCTTTGCCCAGGCCCCCATGAATGCTCAAAGGCGTTTTGAAGTAGGAGCGGGAGTTTATTGTCAAGGAGAGGGGCAGGTGAAGAGACTCCATGGCAAAGGAGAGAACAAGTGCAAAGCATGGTGGCAGGAATGGCCCTTGTAGACTTGAGAACCTTTGAGACCAGATGCTGGAGTGAAATGACTACAGCATGCAGGAGCAGGTTGGGGAGATGGGGACTAAGAGAAGATTATCATGGGAATAGCGGAGGAGAGCCAGGCCCTGGTTAGCAGAAGCAGTGAGCCTATGTCAGAAAGTACCTGGGAAGAGAGAGATGCAGGCATTGCATGGGTGGGACAAAGGACCTGGACAGCTCCTTCACTGTTCTAGCCTCCTGGCCACCAGGTGCTCTCAACTTCAGTGAGTTTATAAAGAAGGCTTGGAGACATCAGGAGCCCAGGGAAGAAGTGGAGCAGGTGGGCTGTGCAGCAGAAGACAGGCAGTATGCAGACGGCCCTGCACTAGGAATGGCATGCATGTGGCTATAAGACACCAAAAGAACCCAAGAGAGCTGGGAAGGAAAAGCAAAGCACAGAAGAGACCTAAAGGGAAGAGGTGGGGGCACTCCTGGGCCACTTCCCTTTCTTAACAAAGTAAATGAACAAGAGCTCCAAAGTGATGTGCAACTTTGCTCTTTCACAGAGTGGACAGACAGCTTCCATTCCAAGAGCTCTGGCCTGGCTTGCTCAGGAAGGAACGACAGTGGTAGAGTCCTCGGCCACTACGGACCAGCACTGCCAAGCTCACCCCAGTCCACCTGTCCCATGCCAAGAATTTCAACTCACCCTGGCTGCTCCCTCAAACTCCAAAACCAAAAGAGAATTAAGATTCCATAGCTTTAACTTACCAAAAAGTATTTATTATCCCAGGTTTCCTTGTCTTCCCACCATACATAAACATGATGCAGTTGGCCCAATACATCAATATGGGGCTGTCAGAAAGCCGCCCAACCCCAGGTGCTGACTCTAGAGGTGTAAGAGGGATCTTGGTCAGGTGACAGGACTGGTTACAACCATACACAAAGCCGAGTGACCCCAGGATCTCAGCTTCTGCCAGGGCTCAGGTGGGCAGTGGGCCCGGGAGCATGAGAATCAAAGCCCAGTACAGACACCAGCAAGGGGTGGAGAGCAGAACACTGTGGGCTGCCTCCCTGCACAGGGTTTGGCTTCCCTCAAGGCTTGAAGATCAGAGGCCCATTCCCTTGGGAGCAGGGTTGGCCAGAAGGCCGGAGCTGGTCTGGCCTCTCCCTGTAGCCATTGGTCAGAAGACTGTGTGCCCAGGCCGCTCAGGAAGCAGTCCCATACACCAACCCAAGGCTGGTCCATCCAGCCCATGGGTTACTTTCACTGGTCCATCCAGCCCATGGGTTACTGCTGCTTCTGTGGAAGGGCCTTCCAGGCGGGTGGGAGCTTCCTGTGGATCAGGGTGAGCCCACAGAGGATGAGGAATATTCCTCCCCACCACAAGACCTCTTGGCACTCTCCATACAGCACGTAGCCCAGGAAGGCCTGCAGGCAGAGACAGCTGTGAGTGCCTCGGCCTCTGAGAGTGGACACTATCAACTCCCCAGAGGCTGACTTACTCCCAGTGGGGGCCAGAATCAAGGTCTGGAGCCAAAAACTTGAGAATTCACACTCAACAGTCACCTTCCCCAAGTCACTCCATTCACTTGTCTTCCCAAAAGAAGTGGGACTATACTGCACTGGAGCCCAAGAGAGTCCCAGGTCGGGGCCTAGCATACAGCTGGTTCCTGGAGTTCACTGACCGAAGCTGGGACAGCAGAGCCTTCCTCCCTCTTCAAGACTGACTGGGCTTAGGTCCACTTTGTTGACCTTACCAGAAGGAACCTCAACCCTCTATAGTTCATGCTTGAGTTCCCAGACCCCTGGGAGACAGCAAAGTTGCCAAGAAGCTTCAGTCAGAGGGTTCCTATCTGGAGGGCAGCAAGTACATAGACTTTTGACAGTCAGTTTTCGTATCTACCTAACCTGAGAAGTCCTCCATGTTTAATTGCTCCACTACTAGAGCCACATCCCAACCTCTGCTTTACTTCCTGTCCTTCCTCCAGTCTGGGCAAGCAGGGGTTCCCCAAGGACAACTCACCCAGAACCCAGATTTCGGACAAGGGCACCATACTCTCAGGCTACTCACCGAGCTGAGGATGTTAGAAAACGTCACTGTGACAGATGCAATGGCTGAAGACATGGAGAAACTGAGGCCCCGGCTAAAGAAGGTCCACATCAGAGAATTGGTGCTTGCCATTGCAACAATGCCTAAGATGCATAAGCCCATGTTTGCCTGCAGGAGAAAAGTGTTTTTGCGACAACAGCCATGGCCCCTGCAGGCAGTGTGACCTGCAGCACACCCAGGGTCATGGCTGCTATAGCCAAATCCCTACAGGGATCACACCATAGATTGTCCCAAGCCCTCACGGGAAGCAGACCCATCTTATCATGACACCAACTTGAGAAAACCTGGCTGGCCACATGACATTGAGTAGAAGCAAAGTGCTCATCCAGAACAAGCATTTTCTGTTGAACATGAAGCCCTATTGGTGGCACAAGGACAGTGCTTGAAGATCAGTCCCAGAGGACAAGTAGCTGTTATTGCTTACGCAGTACGAGAACAGGGGTGTGTCTCTTCCTCCGTGGGTACAGGCGAAGCATGAATTAGCCAACTCTGCCTGCCCCCCACACCCCACTCAGTGCAGGTTACAGCCCATTAAGCCAAATGCTCTGCACATTCTTCAACATTTCCTCTGTTCTAGGACTTGAAAAATGTTTTCAAGGCATTTTTGTTTATTCCTCTACTTCATTCTACTGATAAAGGGCCAGGGGCATTAAGTAACTTGCCTAGTGCTGAGCAGTGCCAGGATTCAAACCCAGGCAATGTGACTCCGTACTCTTAAAACAGTATACAGCCCTTCCTGGCTGAGGTCCTCTGACTGGGTCACCCAGGCTTCTTTGAGAACGTGCAGATTTTTTCCTTTCCTTCTTTTTTGGTCAGATTGGGATTCGAACTCAGAGCTTTGCATTTGCAAAGCCTGTGCTCTACTGCTTGAGTCACTCCTCCAGTTCATTTTGGTCTGGTTATTTTGGTGATGGTATCTCTTGAACTACTTGCCAGGCGTAGCCTGAAACCATGATCCTCCTGATGTCAGCCTTCCAAGTGGCTAGGATTACAGATGTAAGCCACGGGTGCCAGCTTCCCTTCCTTCTTTCTTAAAAGGAGAAAGCCTTGAGAAACTAGAGGATCTTTAGAATCCTCCTACACATCGGATATGAAGACCTCCTTGCTTGGCTTTGAGTGACATGGCCACTTCCTCCAAGGGCTGGGTCCATGTAGACATCAAACTTTTCCGTTGTAGGTTTCCTAAAGCATCTTGGGCATTCTGGAAAGGAGTATGCTCCTGTAACTTACATAAAGACATCCTATGGACCAGTGGTAGTCTGGATTAAATAAAGGGTTACAAACACCAGATCACAAGGAAAAGAGAAGCTTCATGGTCCGTGGGGTCATTCATTTTACTTTGGACCACTTACACCAGGAATTTATACCCAACGGGATACTAATTTCAAGCTTGATAACTCCCATGGAATTAGCCATAAATAGACTGAAACCTAAATTGTCAGTCCCCTGTTCAAGTCAGGTCCTACCCGTGGGGTGAAGGTGCAATGCAACCCCTCTATCAAGTAAAGGATGACATAAGACCTTGGAAGAGCAGGGCACCGAGGTGGACCTGATCACACGGGGCTGGCCCAACAGAAATTCTCGGAGGCAGGGGACCGCCCAAACGGTACTTTCAGGGTTCCCTTATTCTAGGGTATCCCAATTTGCCTGGCAGTTTGTAAACCAGAGCACCCGTGAACGATGAACAAAGAGATGGGCAACAAGTTCCTCATCTAGATTCACGTGCAGAGAAAGGCTGAGCACAAGGGACTTAAAGTGAAAGGTAGGACATGGAGGTCCTCCCCGAGAGTGAGCTAGGCCACCGGAAGGAATGTTTACGTGCCTGCTAAGGGAAGAGGCCTCAGTGCCCCGCGTCTCCTCCCGACCACACTGGACGCCGGGATGGCTACACCCGAGCGCGGCATGCTCTCCCGCCCACCCACCCAGCTGCTCGCGGCGCGCGGGGTGACGCGGCCCCGCGCCCCCGGCCCGCAGCACCCTCCGACCCCGTCCCTCCCCGCCCGCCGCAGCGCCGCCCCGGGCTCCACCTCGCTGCCGAAGGCCAGCTTGGCGGCGGCGGCGGCCAGGGCCCCGAACGCGCCGGCGCACAGGCAGTTGAACACGCCCCAGAAGCGGCGCCGCATCGCGCCGGCCTGGAGGTGCGGGGGGAACTCGGCCGGCGTGTCGGGGTAGGCGGCCGCCGACACCGCACCACCCGGGGACTGCGGCCTCGCGGCCATGGCGCCCACTGCCGCCCGCTCGCCGCAGGCCGACCGCTGTGCACTACGCGAGCTCACGTGACCGGCTCCCACGTGACGCGGAAGCGGCGGCCCGCCGAGTTCGCGGGGGCGGGGCGATGTCGGGAGCGCGCCCGGGTCCTGCGCAGCCGGGCACGGCGTTGTGTATAAAGAGTCGTAGTTGCTGCCCCGTCCTACTCTAAAGCTTGCTTAAAATACCCAGTCCCGGGCCGCGCAGATCCTCTGAGCACACTCACCCGCACCTTCCGAGGTTCCAGACCTAGAAAGAGGCTTAGGGCTCCCACGCTACATAGGAAATTCAGAGGATGTGGATAAGCGGTGAAAATAGATCATCCATAATCAGGAGTCATATTACTTCTACTCTCGTATGCGCTTGCATATTTAAAATGTCTTTATTGTAGGACTGGTGGAGTGGCTCAAGCGGTAAGAGTGCCTGCCTAGCACGTGTGAGGCCCTGAGTTCAAACCCCAGTATTGCCAAAAAAAAAAAAAGTCTTCATTTTAAGAAGTGCATGTCCTTGGGCTGGCGGAGTGGCCCAGGTGCTAATGCGCCTGTAGCAAGCATGAGGCTGCAGTCAAACCCCAGTACTATTAAAAAAAAACAAAAACAAACCCCAAAACAAAATCTTGTCTTTGGGGCTGGGGATGTATCTCAGTGTAGCACACTTGCTTATCAAACATGAGGCCTTGGGTTTGTTCAATCCCCAGCATTGGAAAAAAAAATTATCAAAAAGTACATGCCCTCGAACAAAGTGCTGTTGAAATGTATAAGCTACTGTTGTGGTCACTGATAAACAGAAAATCCAGATTCTTTTACTATGTGGATGAATCCAGGCAGGACGGGTGGGGGAAAAGTTACAGCCATGGTGGGCCAGGTATGAGGCAGACGCAGGGAGAGAGTGCGTTTTCTGTATCCAGGTGCTTTTAAAAATCAGCGCTAACTTATGGAGGAGAAAAACCTGGGAGATTCTTGATCACCAATAATTGGCAAGTGGGAAGGGGTATGGAGGGGGGTCCCTGGGCTAGGGTGGTGGTTCCAGCTAAGGGGCGAACAAGCTGCGCTTATTTGCCTCGCTGCTATTAAAAATTGTTTTGTGGGCTGGTGGAGTGGCTTCAGCGGTATAGCACCTGCCTAGCAAGTGTAAGACCCTGAGTTCAAACGCCAGTACCACAAAAAATAAATAAAAATTAAAAAATTTTGCAGTGAGGGGAAGATTCAGAGAGAGAGAGAGAGAGAGAGAGAGAGATTGAGAGAATGTTCAATCTAAAATATAAAGTCAGAAGAAGAGTCCAGGTCTTTCGCCATCTTAGCCTACTTCAGTACTATTTCCACTGTCCAGGAAAATTACTATTAATGAGTCAGATTACAAGAACCTGCCTCTCACTGGGGCAGGAGTTAAGCATTGTTAAAGCACTGCTAATGTTAATGAGGAACACTTATTTTTGCACCTATTAATGTTTATTTTTCTCCAATAAATATGCTGTGATGTTGGTGGCTGGGGTGATTTCACTCCCTAATTGACAACTGTTAGGCCCTTCCCAGGTGCTCTGGTTACCTTGAGCAAAGGGCTGCCAGCCAAGCAGCTGGACTGTGCTCAGGCCAGAAACATCTGCTTTGAACACTTTTCAGACACCGTGAGGTAGGTACAGGACAACCACACCTGTTTGTTGTCAAAACACAACTTAGGTTCCTGAAAGCACCGTCCTAGACTATTTTAACAGCTTGCATTGGACTTTTAAAAAAGTTGTACAATGGCGGCTCACACCTGTAATCCTAGCTACTTTGGAGGCTCAGTTTGGAAGGATTGAGGTTTGAGGCCAGCCTGGGCAAATAGTTCAAGAGCTCCCATCTCCAAATGGACTGGAGGTGTGGCTCAAGCAGTAGAGTGCATGCTTTGCAAGCACAAAGCCCTGAGTTCAAGTCCCAGTTCCACCAAAAAAATTTGTAAAATGGGGTTTATTGTGGTGTTTTCATAATGCATATGTACTTTGATTATATTCACCACCCCACACACCAACAATGGGATGTTCACATCCTTTTGTTTTGTTCTAGGCTTACAGTCCACATATGAGCAAAAACGTGGCATTTATCTGAGTCTGCCTTAGTTTACTATATAACATAATGCTCCCCACATCCATTCATTTTCCTCAAACAACATAATTTCATTTTTTATGGCTGAAAAATACTTCACAAATCCTTTGGTGGGTATATAGGCTGATTCCATAGTCTGGCTGTTGTGAATAGAACTTTTATAAATATGGTGTGCGAGTAGTATGCTGACGTACATTCCTTTGGGTATATGGCCAGTAGTGTAGCAGGATCATATGGTAATTCTATTTTTAGCTTGTTGAAGAACCTCCATGCTGATTTCCACAATGGCTGCATTAATTTACATTCCCACCACCCCCCTACTGCATCCTTGCCAGCATTTGTTTGTTTTCTTTTTGGGGGGTATTTTTATTTTTTTCATGTTGTAATTAGTTGATAATAGTTGTATAGGGGGTTTTGTTGTGACTTTCCATATATGCATATAATATATATGCATATATAATAGAGGGGTTTGTCCCCTCTATTGTTCTCCCTCTTCCCCCTCTCAGAGCTTCTTAAAGTGACTTTGATAGATTTACTGAAACCTATCCATATTTGTTGTTTGTTGTCCTGATGATTGCCATTCTGACTGGGGTGAGATGGAATTTCAATGACATTTTGATTTTTGTTTCCTTTATGGCTAATGTTATACATTTCTCCATGTATTTATTGGCCATTTGTACTTCATTTGAGAACTGTCTTTTGAATTCATATGCTCATTTATTAATTGGTTTGTATTATATTGCTTATATATTTTAGATATTAATCCCTTGTCCAATGAATGGCTCGCAAAATTTCTTTGTCCTGTACTGTAGACTGTCTCTTCAATTTGGGAATTGTTTCTTTGATGTACAGAAACCTTTTAATTTGATGCAATCCAATTAGTCAATTATGTTATTTCGAGAGCTATTGGAGTCCAATTCAGAAAGTTCTTGCCTATGCATATATCTTCTAGTGCTTTTCTGTAGCACTTTTAAAGTTTCAGGCCTTATATTAATATCTTTGATTCATTTTGAATTGATTTTTATACAGAGTGAGAGAGAGGGATCTGGTTTCAGTTTTCTGCATGTGGATATCCAGTTTTCCCAACACCATTTGTTGAAGAGGCTTATGTTTTGGCACCTTTGTAAAAAATCAGATTGCTGCAGGTGTTTGGGGTGATTTCAGGTTCTTCAGTTCTATTCCATTGTTCTTATGTCTCTTTTTATGGCAATACCATTTGTTACTGAGGCTCTGTAGTATAATTTGAAGTTAGGTATTGTGATTACCTCCAGCCTTGTTTTTGTTGTTCAGGATTGTTTTGGCTATTCCAGTCTTTTATGCTACCATATGAACTTCAGGACTGGGTTTTTATTTGTGTGAAAAATGACACTGGAGTTTTCAGGGGGATTGCATTGAATATGTGGATTGTTCTCAGGAGTATAGTTATTTTCACAATATTAATTCTGCTGGCCTATGAACACCTCCTAATGTCTTCTTCAGTTTCTTTAAGGTTTTCTAGTTTTCATTGTAGAGGTCTTTCATCTCCTGAGTTAAATTTATTCCTAGGTATTTTAATTTTTTGAGGTTATTATGAATGGGATTGTTCAGTTTTTCTCAGCCAGCCTGTTCATTATTGGTGTATGGAAAAGCTACCGATTTTTTTTTTTTCCAGGACTGGAGTTTGAACTCAGGCTTACACTGTGAGCCACTCCACCAGCCCCCTTTTTTTATGAAGGGTTTTTTCGAGACAGGGTCTCCTGAACTATTAGGCCTGAGATGGCTTAAAGCATTTTATTGACACTTTCTGCATCTATGTTTATGAAAATTGATTTGTAACCTTTTCTTGTTGTGTCTTTGTCCAGTTTTGTATCAGGGTAATACTGGCTCATATAATGAGTTTGGTAGCATCCCTTCTCTATTTTATGGGATAGTTTGAGGAACATTGGTATTAGTTCTTATCTTTAAAGGTCTGGTAAAATTCAGCTTGGATCTACCCTTTCCTGGGCTTTTCTTTGTTGAAGAATATTAATGCTTCAATCTCTTAAGTTGTCATAGAGCAAAGCTTTTTACATCTTCTTGGTTCAATTTTGGTACGTTATATGCATCTAGAAATCTATCATTTCTTCTGTTTGTTAATTTATTGGAGTATAAATTTTGGAAATATTCCCTAATGATCCTCTGAATTTCATTGATATTTGTGATATCCTCCCTTTCATCTCTAATTTTATTAATGTCTTTTCTCTCTGTTGGTTAGTTTGGTTAAGGGTTTGTCAATCTTATGTACCTTTTCAAGGAACCAACTCTTTGTTTCTTTGTATGATTCTTTTAATTTCCATTTAATTAATTTCTGCCCAGGTCTTTATTATTTCTTTTCATCTACTACTTTGGGGTTTGACTTGTTCTTATTTCCTCTAAGAGCTTGGTGCGCATCAGTAGGGTATTTGTTTGGTATCTGATTATTTAATGTAGGTATTCCTAGCTATAAACTTTCCTCATAACTTTGCCTTTGCTGTGTCCCAAATGTTCTGTCTGGTAAGTTGTGTTTTCATGTCCATTTGCTTCTAGTAATCTTATTTCTCCCTTTATTTCTTCAATGACCATTCAAAAGTGAATTGTTTAGTTTCCATGTGTATTTTTCATGTAGTTTCTTTTGCTGTTGATTTCTGGTTTTATTCCATTGTTATCTGACATAATACAGGAAGTTATTTCATTTTTCTTGTTTGTTAAGACTTATGTCCTAAAATATGGTCTGTTTTATAAAAATGAAAAACAAAGAATAAAATATGGTCTTCTTGGAGAAAGTTCCATGGGCTGCTAAGAATTTATATTCTGTGTCTGTTGGGTAAAATATTCTGTAGATACCTTTTAAGTCCATTTTATCTATAGTGTTTAATTCTGATATTTTTTGTTGATTTCTTTTTGGTGTGGATGACCTA